TTATATTTAAGAGGATATATATTTAAATCAGTCAAATGAAAAAATTCCATTACAGATAGCTTCATAATTTTCAGGAAAATATTTAGTTGAAAAACACATACATGTAAAATAATTCATATAATATAGGTAAGTCTTCTATGTTTGCCCATGAACACTTTCCTCCTCACTTTTAGTGGCCTATGCATTCTGAAACCATAGGCAGTCAACAATATAACTATGTAAATATTCAGAGTGCCACAAAAACAAATTGTCTAAATTCAGTGTTCTTTGACAACCTCATCTTTCCATGTACGCAGGATACTGGTTAATAACAGAATTTTATGTACCATTTAAACAAATTAAAGGAAAACAAAAATTCTTATCACTATACACAATCAGGTTTAACTCTGGAGAGAAAGACATTCTTCCACCCATTCTTTTCACTCTTTACTAATCTCAAGTTTGGTCCAAGACTAACATCACTGCAAATGAATGAGGCCTTCTCTGTGACCAGCCCACACAGGTACACTGGAGGAAAGATGACATGTGTGGCACATCGAGGGTTTCTGGGGATGAATGTGGGGTCTTTGTTCTTTGCCTATGTGAGTAACACAAGAAGCTCCAGTGCTCTTGCAATGGGACAAATGAAATTTATCTCCCCTTTCACCTTTTCCTTATATAAGACTGTTCACATCTACCTTTGGGTATCTGTACCCCTTTGAATTTTTTTTAAAACAACTTACCATGTAACTTTTAAGTAAACTATGTATTTTGCTCAATAAAGTTCAGAACAATTAAACACAAGAAAACAAATGTTTCTGACTTAAATCCCATCAAGGATGGGATTCATCAAGGATGATCTAGATCTAGATGGGCCTTCTTGGGGGTCACCATTCAGAAAGGGAAGCAGAGAAAAATGCCAAAGCAGAATGGAGGGCTACTCACAAAGGGGGATCCTCGGACTTGATAAGACCATGTCCCCCCTTGTCACAGGGGAAACCATATTAAGAGTTTCCTGGGAGTAGTTTCCAAATACTTAGTATTGTAAGGACTTAGGTCAGTTGCATCACAAGTGAAAACTTTTGAGAAGCCCCCAGAGCTGACCTCAGCCCTCAGCACACCAGGGCAGATTTCCCTTTTCTTCTTAATCAGTGAAACAATCTTTTATCTTCTGAGAGGCACACTTTAGTTTCCATTTGAATAACTTCTGTCGGAATTGCATCAGAATCAGCAACAGTTGTACCAGCCTCACTTTAGTAAAGACAACATTCCTTAAGTTGTTCCTAAGTCATCAGAATAACCTGGGGAGCTTGTTTAAAGAAGGGATGTTCTAGAACACCACTCTCAGAGATTGTGATTCAGTAGGTCTTGGTAGGATGTGGGAACATGCATTTTCATTAAGGCTCTCCAGGTGATTTTCATGGAAGTGGCATAAGGCCCACAACTGAATAACGCTGATTTCAGAAGGAAAGGTCAGAAATGCTTCTTTGCCAGAATAAGGCTGACTGCAGTGTCCTCTTGGAAGAGATCACCTAGATTCATTCTTTAGCACTAAGGACGTGGGCCTCTATAGTGTCCAGTTCTAAAAGTGAAACAAATTGGGCTCACACTTGACTGGACTTGAGGATAACTAGCAAAATCCCAAAGTACCAGAGAAGTTTTGGTGGTTTCTGGTTGGAGAGCTTATAAGGCCATTTTTTCCTTTTCTTTTCTTCTTTTTCACTGATGCTGAGCTAAGGAAGCCAAATAGACCCACACTGATAATATGTTGTTTGGATATGGGTGAATGTAAACAGCAAGTGCGAATTCTGTCTGGGGAAATTCTGAAGAGTGAATTCCAGTGTGATACACGGTGTCAATCACTGACTGGACATCAGTATATGGCATCTGGATAGGAAATCCTGTAACCTGGACCAAGGACAGAATAACATGTAAGCCCACTTTACACTCATGTGGATAATGAGGACTTACTGATTCCTGACTGCAAAAATATCACAGCAGCCTCAAAGAAATGACAGTCAAAATAATAAAATAGTTGTCATTTCATGGGTGCTTAATATTTCTAGGAAAAGTTCCAAATGCTTTACATTCATATTTAATCCTCAAACAATCCGATGAGGTAGGTTCTATTATCCCTGCTTTGCAGACAGAAAGGAGCAGAGCCAGGTCTGTGTAATGCCAGAGCCTGAACACTTAACATTCCATAGATGTGCACTCTTGCTAGAATAGAAAACTGTCAACAAGGAAATTAGTTGGGTCATGCAAATGACCCATGCAAATGAGCAGTTTTGAAGATTTATTTAACACTGATTTCATCTATATTAAGTGACAACTAAGTGACAGGATTAAAGGATTATGGAATGAAGGCCTGTGTAAAACTGTTAGGTAACAATATAGACGCTAATCATAAACTTCTTGCAGGTCTTAAATATGGCTTACTTCAGGACACTTTTCCTGATCAGTAAATCTATTCCTATGTTTTTCCCATGTCATTGCATAGCACACTATCTTTCCCCTGCTTGCTTAAAATACTGAAATTGCACGTCCCGTAATCTGCTTCTTCAAATAACATAGTCTGTAACTGCAGAGTTGTATTTGTCTTGTTTACTACCACAATCCCAATGCCTAGCACAACAGTCAGCACACAGAATACAAATAATAGTTAATGGTTACTGAACACATAGGCTGGGAGCTACTCCCCAACCCAACTACAAAAGTGATAATGATTTTTATCCTTGTTTATCTTGTCCAATGGGATAGAAAGTTAGGGGGAAAAGGTAACTTGATCAAAGTCGATGTGTGGTCAAGCCAGGATTTGAACCAAAGTTTTGAATTCAGCCCAAGTTTTGATTGTATTATAAAATGAATAGATTTACCATGTAGCTCTTAAGCTTTAAACCTTGACTTATAGTGACTTTGTTGTCTGTTTACCCCTAATTTGATTAAAGAAAAATCAAAACATCCCCCCTCATCTTGAATGAATATCGCTTGCAGATCACACCCTAAGTACTTAACTCCTAAGAGATACTAGTTTTGGGGTGGTAGGCAGAAGAATCTCTTCTTGGGAGGCTGGAACTTTGGAAAAATCCACTGGACCAGTTCCTAAGGAAGAGGAATTACAGGACGCTCAGACTCCGGGGAAGGGCAAAATTAGAGGGCAGTAACAACATACCAAATGCCCACCACATTCGGTTAGGGGCTTGAGGAGTTTGGGATGCCTTTTACCAATCGGGATGATGTCAGGTGTATTGGTGGCTATACATGGAGGAAGTATAAATGTATAAATTTTGGAGCAATGTGCGTGTAGAGGATATTAATGTATGCTGTGTTCGCATACCCAGAAGCATGGACAGATTCTATTCTATTACTACTATCTGGAAGTCACTTTTGAATTTCTTAGTTGCAGGTAGTTTCTTTTGGGAAATTTCTGTCCAAAGTTTATGATTTATACATCACAAAATATATTAATGATTTTAAGAAAATGTAATGCAATATGATTATGGTAATAGTCATGCACCTCATTTGAAATTCCTTGGTCTCTATGTAAATGCATCTTAATGCTATAGCATCTAAATAGGATTAAGATAACAGGCATTCCAGGGATATCTACCATTAATTCCATCTGGCAATTAACTATAAACAAAACAAATGTCCTTAATGAATTAAGTCATATACATACCAAGTAAAATTGGAGCAGCCTTTCAAATTCACTCTCTTCAGCTGAAATACACCTTCCAGTGCCAAGTTCCAGCTTAGGAAGGATTTGTCGCAAAATAAAACTACACTGTCGATTCCAATGTGTTGGTTGTTTAGGTCGCCATTCCATCATTTTGCATTTTAGAGTCCTTTCAATCCTGAGGTATGAATGCAAGGATTGTTTATTTACTCACCCACTTAACAAATATGTTAAGAGTTTTATCACTTCAAGCACGAGAACACTTTTTTGATGTAGGAGGTAACCAGACCTCTGAGGCTGGGGATGTCTGCCATCATTCACATTAATCAAGATGGGGGGGAAACTCTTGCTTGGCTTGGGAAAACGAGCCACCTACAGGGACAGAGCTGGCATTCAGATCCCAAAGGCACAGCTTGTTTCCAGTTACTTCTGTGCAGGCAGCTGCCTCCTAGATGTAACTTGATGTCACGTAGGGTCTGACTACTGAGCTGACATTTCTTTTCTCTAGGACCCTCCTTTAATATAGATACTGTTTCCAAGAAGCTGCCTTTACAAAAATTCAGATATCTTATCTGGGATGTTGCCAGCAGGGAAGGACACATTGCCTCAGTTAATTCAGCAAGCGAAGTGGGAGACAGAATGGGGCATTGGACTGATAAGTATGATGGTTAGTTTCCCCACCTAGAAACTTACCCTTCAGAAGGGCAGGGATTTCTGCCTCTCTGCCCACCCCATGAGAATAGTGTGCCTTGTGATGAGCTGTTGGAGGGAAGGGAGAGGCAGAGCAAGGTGTGAGCTGTGGATGGAGCTGTCCTGTGAGCCTCTCTGCGCAGAATCTGTTTGTGTCACAGAAGAAGCCAATGGGCATCTCTTGGCTGAGCTTGTGGTGTAACTAAATAGTTTAGAATTTTGAGAGAGTCTAGGTAGTGAGTATGCTTCAGAATCACCTGTAGGGCTTTATCAAAATGTTTCATCTCTAGATACTGAGACAACAGGCCCCAGACCCTGACACCTGTATTTTTTAAGTTGTTAAATTAGAATTGATTCTGATGAAAACTGAAAGTTGAGAAACATTTCTGTATTTCCTTTCTTTTGTGGGGAAAAAGAAAGGTAACTAGATGTGGGGTTTGGGCAATCGTGTGAGATGGGGGCAGCAAAACTGTTTTGGTTGTGCTGTTTTTGTAACAGGGGGGTTCCCAGGAAAAGGAGAGGTTCCAGGTTCCCTGTCCCATCCAGAGGGAGGGTGGAACTGAGACAGGAAGAGAAGAATCTGGGGAGGAGACTGAAGAGGAAGGAAGCAGGATAGGGAGCCAGAAGGAGACCCTGAGGGAGGCACATGGAGCAGAGAGACAGGTGAAGAAGCTTTGTCTTGTTTCTTGGCCCTGGACTAGGTGAAACAGATGTGGGTGAGAGACTTTTCTGGCCATTTCTGACCCTTTTCTATGGGTCCCCTCTAGAAGGTTCTTTAGGCTTGTGGCAGGCTTTCGGGCCTTGCTTTGGGCCAATCCCTTTTGCGTAGACTTTCACTCACGAGGTAATGGGTAACTCTGGGTGTCTGACTTGGAAGTTATATTCTTTGTCTTTTTTGTATTGCACACTCATTGTATTAAAGTTCCTTTCCATTAAAGGTCTGATATGTTTCATCTTGATGCGGCGGATGGCAGAACCTATTTAGAACAGGCAGGCATTTGGGGGTTCAGCCGTGTTCCTCTCCCTGCCCTGTAACATTTTGACTAGCTGATAGTGGCTTCCATGCCAGTCTGCTGTGTCAGTGTGAGTCACTGGAGACAGTCATCCCAAGCAGCCTCTGACACATCTGGGGTAGAGTGAGCCTGATGCAAAGTCTGTGACCTTTCTGCCTTGACTGACCAACTCCTTAGAAACAGGTGCAGGTGCAGGTGTGTGCCATGGGGGAGGTACCCATGTGTGCCCATGGTATCAAGGAGGGACAATAGTGATGTTTCTGCCACCCAACTAGAATATTTTTTTACCATACACTAAATTGTCGTCATTTACATTCACATCCTTCCAAGCAGTCTTAGTTACTGCATTATTATTACTATAGGCTGAACCTCTGTAGACAGCGGTTCAGCCTATAGTACTGAGAACTGCCTAGCAGTTGGCCACAGTGTTTTCCAGAGACAACTATTTCATAACTTAGACTGTCTTCAGGGAGTGTCATAGAAGGCATATGTCAAGAGACAGATAATGACTCTGGAAGTTACCTGTTCTAATCACCGGTTTGTCCTCCTCTTGCTGAACCTATTGGGCTCAAGAGGGTTCGAGGACCAAAGGGTGGCTGGCAGTGAGATTAGGGAGAAAACACAGCAATCACAATATATAAATAAAGTTCACCTGTTCTTTAGATCTTCCACCATGCTTTTATTTGTAGCAGAATAAATTATTTCTTCAGGCTGAAATATAGACAAGTGAAAGTTAGAAAGATTTGAGGGAGACCATCTTCACAGCACAGATACCCTGCAGTGCTGATATAATGAGAGGAAACCCAAGCCAGACTCCTGTGGCAAAGACAATTACAGGCGTGCAAAGGTAAAATAGAGACCATAGTCTTTTCTTTGGCTTTTCTACGTTTCCACCAGAGCACAGGTGCGTGGTGGATTTACCAGAGATATTTTTCACAGGTAAGACAGACATCCTGCCTCCATGCATTTATTCAAGTGCATCTGGCATGTTTGCTGACTCCACCAGATAATCTGGGCATTTACACAGGCCTCTTCCAACTGTGAATGATGACACTGGTGAAGCTACTTCTTGCAGTCTCAGTTCCCACATCTTTAAAAGAGGGACAATACCTTTATTTTGTGGAGTCTTGGGAAGATTTTCAAATAAAGGAATACAGGCAAAGCCCAGCACATAGTGAGCCCAGCACATAGTGAGCCCAGCACATAGTGAGCCCAGCACATAGTGAGCCCAGCTCACTAAACAACCAGCTATTATTGTTGTTGCTCTTCTAACTTGGTTTGTTGTCTGCCAGCTTCGAGTATTACCCTCTGGCAGCAGGCTGAAGCCAGGCCCCCGTCTCACGCACTCAGCCTCGTCCACACAGAGCATTTCACTCTCCTGCGTCCAGGACTTCACCGCAGGCAACCCACCAACAGCAGGAAGTCCTGCTCTGCCGTGTTTCCCGGCTGCCCTCCTGAGTACAGTATGCTGGGACTTCTCAAGTCCATGCCCTCAACCCAGGTCTCCCCTACCCATACCAGCAGGGCTCACACTGGCAAAAATGAGTGGCTGATGTAGACCTTTTTTTGCTTTGGGTATCCCTGAGCTGAGCAACAGAGGCAACTGTAGAGATTGGGACAGATGTTTCCTCTTCATGAGTGGAATGACATTGTGCAAAAAGGGGGCAACACTGTTCAGGCCTCAAGGCCCAAGAATACATCAGTACTAGTGGTGAGCCGGCTCTGTCAGGTCATGACCTAAGCTGGTGGTTCCCAAAGTGTGGAACTGGACCAGAAGACATAGACCTGAAAAGCTGTTTTATCAATAGATAACAACTTTTCAGTCCCCACCTTAGACCAGCTAAATCAGAACCTCTAGGGATGAGGCCCAGCAACCAATGTTTCAATAACCACCCCACCACCACCACAACTCACCCCTTTATTCCCCAGGGGATTTGATGCCTGCCCCAGTTTCAGGTACAGGAAGTTCCCCAAAATGGAGCAAGGCAGAAGATGGAAGACTGGAGAAGGGAAAGCATGAATTCCACAGTCATCTTGCAGAGGCCACCAGCTACCCCAGACGGGACGGTTAGGCTGAATTTCCTAACTACTATCACCAACCACAGCCCCTCCAAAACTTCTCCTTCCCCACCCCCTCCCATGCCCCAGTCTCAGTGGCTCCAGCTGGCCCTTCTCCTCTTCACCCCACCCCACCAACTTTAGCAGATTTGTTAAATTACCTTTAGGCCTGAAAAAGAGGGTTACACTGAATCTATAAGCTTACAGGTATTAGTCCATTTTCCTTTTCTGGAAAAGGGTCAGCTGTTTCAGAGAATTCATATCCTTTATCTTCAAGAGGACACTTCCCTGCCAATTTCACCTCTGCATACCCACATTCTCATCACACACTCCAACTTGTGTTTTCAATTGTGATCATGAAGAGTGTTCGCGATAGATAGTGGTTCCCGCTGGTTTGTGTGTGGCCAAAGATCAAGAATACTTAACCCGCAGCAACATACTCAGGAGATACAAGTCAGATGCAACTACGAGTTTTGTGTGTATAGATTCAGCTTGGGAAAGGCTCATCTCTACCCTCAGTCTGAGCGGTTTTTAAAAACACAATTTTTATTGTGGCAGCCCTTGCTTTGGTGTTGACCACTGACTGTCCTGAAGATAGAGGCCCAAATCCTTCCCAGACCTGCGTGCACCCCAGAGATCTTCTCTGCTCACCACCTGGGGCAGCCATGCCAGCCATTCCGCTCCTTGACCACGCTCTCCTCGCCATTTAGGCCCTCAAGCCTGCAGCTTCTGCTGTCTGTTGGGACCATCTTCTCCCTGACTCATTTAGGTAGTTCCTGCTCATTCTTTCTCACTATGCCATCACCGCTTTTCCCCAGGAAGCCCCTTCCTCCTGCCCCCTCACGACCTCCTGCTGCCCAACGCACAGTCACTTCTGCAATAGTCTTTATCACACTCTACATCAACTGCCCATTTCCTCCTGTAGAACACAAGTCCCAAGCATACTGAGGCATGTCTTTTTCCTGGTGGTATCTATACCAAACATAGCGCTGGTTCACAGCAGCTCTCAATAAACGCTGCCTGGAAGAATAACAGAATGGTTAAGGGAAAACAAACAAGGAAGCCCCTCTACTCTAAACAGTGCATCCCCTCCCTAAGAGGCAGCAATGCTTCAGTCACAGCTCTAGGATGAGAAAAGAAGACATGGCCCATGGATGCAGTAAATGTGGTTTGTTCGAGAGATAAGCACATTTCCCCTTCTTTAAAATGACTTTACAAGCAGGAAACGCAGGAAATAAAGATATATAGGGGTGTGCGTGTGCATGTGTGTGTGTAAAGTATATGTATTAGTTTGCTTCTGCATGGAGAATAATTCAGAGGCACAGAAAACTACTGACAGTGATTATTTCTTAGAGAGTAGGAGAAATACGTTGAAAGGGAGAGCAGAAATCACTTTCTACACTTTGGCGCTATTTCCCCCCCAAAAACCACGTGTTCTTTTTAGTCTTGTGATTGCCTTGATTACACAGACAAGCAGAGAATAATGCAATGTGCACCCACCTGACTCACCTATCACCCAGAAAGACCTAATCTTTGCTTTTTTTCCATATCTGTTTTACATTATTTTAAAAAAGAAGTGGTAACATTACAGAGAGACTTGAAGTACTTTGCATATACTCCCTGATCTCATTCCTTTTGTTCTTTCCCCAAAGCTAACCTTTAACCTAATTTGGTATTTATGCCCATGCAAGCTTTTTTTTTTTTGCTATCCCTACATATCTACATACACAGAAACAATATATAGTCTTCAAACTTCACATAAGTAGTTTTTTACTGTATGTGTCATCACATCTACTTTATTTTGCTTGGAATTATGTTTTTTATAGTTTTAATATGCATGATTTGAGATCAGTGGTTCTCACCTTTGGCTGCATACTAGAGCCACAGGGGAGTTTTGAAATAATAATGATGTTTGGGTTCCACGTTCAAAAATTCTGATGAAGTAGATGGACAGTCAAGTTGGCAACCATTGCAAACTGGTTTATACATTTTTAACTGTTTCCAATTTTTTTGTGTGCTTGTGCTGAACAATTCCGTAACACACACTGTTATGCTGTCTCACTGTATGTGTTTCTCTAGGGTAGATAGATAAATGCTGATGGGTGGATCAAAGGTTGAGTATTTTTGACTTAACCAGATAGTATCATATTACTTTCCAAATTGTTTATAGCAATTGTGCTCCCACCATTTCTCTGCCTCTTTGCCAACATTTTTGGTGTGTGTGTGTGGGGGGGGGTCCTCTAATATATGCGAAATAGTGTTTTGTTAGTTTGTATTTCCCTGATTATGGGTGAGGTTTGAACATTCAAGTTTCTGGCTTCTGTTTTTCTGTTGCTCTTTTTCTCTTTTTCTACACCTCCAACTTCTTCTTTTGGGCTCCTTTCTTCTAGTGCATGCATTTTACAATTAATTACACCTGGATAAACCATGCGCCTTAATTCAGAAGCAGCTGTTGAGGTGGTATTTGGGTGCCTCCTGAAGCAACACCAAGTGCATCAGGGGCACACCAGCCAAGCTGCCATCTGCTGGCTGAGTCAGCTCTGGGCTTAGGCGCTTTGGTGAGCGGCCTCCTGAGCCTGGGCGGTGGATCTGCAGTTTTCTTCTCCACCTCAACCCTGCTTCCATAAGTAAGACTGGCCCTGGCTCCCTGAATGTCATGAGCATCTCTAACTTCGTTGCCACATCATCTTTCAGCCCCACTCACTGCTCACAGTCCCACGGTATCTGTCCTGTTTCAATTCCACGAGGTAGCTATCCAGATCAGACTTTGATATGTGGAGTCCAGATGAGCCTTTGATTTTTCAATTTTGCACTTTATCATTGCAATGGATGTGGAGCAAAAGGAATAGATCAGAGTAAAAACTTCACACACCATCTTGACCTTTCTTAAGGTGAAATTTTAAAAAATATTTTACTTTATACTCTAGATCTCATTTGAGATGTTACTCAATTCACCATTTTTGCAAGTAGAGGGAAGGGAGCAGAGCAGTCCAAGCTTGAACTGGATGGCAGAGAATAATTTTTAACATTGTCAAATGACTCCATAAACAATCAGCTATGTTTACATAATAAGAACTGTGACAACTAGTAATGACTAGCACTATAATTCTCACATAGACACAACTGGAAAAGTGTGATTTACCTGTATGCTTTGGATTTTTGCCCCTTGAAAATTTTTTGGAAGCAACTGTTTCCAGAAACTTTCCTTTGAATAGTCAAAATGTACAGCCATTGGTGTATTATTTTGTTGAATATTAAACCAAACCTATTAAAACATTAACACACAATCAGTCTGGGTCCATAAGAACATAAAACCCCTAACTTATTAGCAGGGAACAAATTTCACAGTCCCAATTCCCAGGTCAGTGGTGGAAGACAAAGGAGATTCTGAGGTAGGAGACAAGGAGACCCCAGGGCTAGGAGAACACTCGCCACCTCACTGCTTCCCACCCAGGCACTCTATAGAAGCACCTGTGGCAGCTGCTGAGATAAAAGATTTCCACCCTACTGATTCTAACCAACACCTACATTGTCTTCAAAGTTCCCCCACGTGACTCTAATGCGTGCCAAGGCAGAGGATGCTGGTTTGACACTTGAGGGGATAACTCAAAATAAAATTTTCTCCCTTATACTTACATTTCCACCATCAAACAAACAGTCTACACTTTGTAAAGGACAAAATGGGTCAAACTGTTTATGGCATTGCCCAGTTAATGGATTCCAAAGCAAATATTCATCATTTTCTTGAGTTAATACATAAGCCACATGCCCCTAGATGAGGGATAAAAAGAGTTAAAAGTCAATTTTGAATGACTGGTTGTATGTGGACATTAAAAGGTAAGAATGTGATGTATCTTTGGTTCCTAAAAGCAGGCGTGCGCAATAGAATTTATATATCTAGTAACCCCCTAACTAGCATTATGAGCAGCACTATTTTGCAAAGAAAAAAAGCAAATGGAAGTCATTCTTTACACTGTGCCATTTTGATGAATCATCATTATCCTCTTACCTCATAATTTGCCCATGAAATTCTCTCAATAGCTTGTGAAAAGATGGAAAGGAGGGTTGAAGTCTTTGAAACTGCAGCTAAGAGCCAATTAGTCTTGTTAGTCCTATTTAAATATTAACTCCAGCACTTACTTCCAACACTGAAGTTCCCAGAAGAACCAAAGCTTTTTTCCCAAAATACAGGAAGAAATTACAGAGAAGTATAGCATGTTCCTCCTTATTCCCGGTAGCCAAACTGATGCACTTCTAAGGCAAAATCAAAACAGGGTCCAAAAAAAAAGCAAGGGGGGTGGGTGGGTAGGGTAGGGGGAGAGGAAAAATTTGAGTACTGCAAGTATCTGAAAGACTTAGAGCCCTCTACTCCCTCTAGTTGCAAACTCACTTTTTGCCAGTCACAAAGGTAACAAAAACTGTTAGCAAAGTTCTCTATTTACCTGATAAACAAGTAGGATATCAGAAGGAAACATTAACTCAGAACACAGGAGTCATCTTTTTTTTTTTTAATTTATTTATTTATTCATACAGAACTGGGGTACAGGCCAGAGGTGCAGAGGGTGAGAGGATTCACCAGGGACAGAGTGGGGGAGCAGAATGGGCAGATAGATGAAGTACACTGCTGAGGGGAGCAGCGGGCGGGTCAGGAGAGGTCTGCCACGCCATGTGGTCACCTCTGGGGCAGGCAGGGATCGAACTCATGCGGAAGTGGCTTAAGCTTCTTAGTGCTGTGCTTTAATACGCTGTGCCACCTGGGAGGGCCAAGGAGTCACCTTTATTATGGACAATTAATGTGGATTCTACATAAGTGACCAAGTAATTTCTCATCCAAAACTGGACATTTTTATTTAGGGAAGATGTTAAAATGCTTTGGGCAAACAGAGCCAGGAAGACATGCATCACATCATCAGAGAGGAATTTGACAGGAGACTGGCTGGTGTTTTTAGCAGGAAGGATTCTTTGGACAGAGCTACACTGTCCTGCACCAATAATACAGTGTTGTCAGCTGAGAGGGAGGGAGAGGTGGGAGTTGGAGTCCAATCAGGAAGAGTGACTGAACCGTCTTCAGCTGAAACAGCTGAACAGGTAATTAAACCTGGGGTCCCTAATGAAGCAGAAATAGCAGGGGGCAAAAGCTCAGCAGAGGTGTGACTTGGGTGTTGGTCTGCAGGCGCATTTGTTTGGTTCTGAGAATGTGTTACAAATTGAGAGATCGCATATAAAACTCTGAACTTCTGGCTTCTCCAGAAAAGAATCAAAAGATCTCATGACAAATGTTCATAGGGCCATAGTCTGTGGCTGAGCAGCACCATTTCAAGGCGACCTGTGCTCTCCAAGGCATTCTAGCAGCACGGCAAGGCCAGGGCTGGGTAGGCCGGCACTTCCAAATCAGTGTGAAAGCATTGCAGTGTTTTAGCAACTGATATGACCTTATCAGAGCAAACTGGTTGAATGTGATGGGGAGAGAGAGAGGTGAAGGAAGATGGTAAGGTGGTTTCCTGGGGGAAGAAAAGTGTGAAAAGGAGAGGGAAGACAGTACTCAGATGTGAGTGGTCATGTCTTCAATGCCAGGCCAAGCAGGGGGTCTCCAGACTTAATTTTAGAAGAGAAAATCCACCCTGAATTCCAGGTGCCTTGTCTGCGTTCTTATCCTCGCAAAACCTGTGTCCTCTGTATGACACAGATGAGGAAATTCAGGTCCAGAGAAGCTGAGTCACCTACCTCAGTTCACATAGCTATTAAATCATTATCTCAGTTGAAACAGGATTTGAATCAAGATGGGTTTGACTCCCAGACACCCAGATTTGTTTGACACCCAGGTAGGAGATAACTCTTATCTTCTGACAATCTAATTAGTCTTACACTAATGGGATCCCAAGACCAAAGGGTTCATGGAAGACATTAGCCAAGAGAAATCCCAAGCCTGTGGTGACCTCTTAATTGTGGGTATTCTTTGGATGGGGGAGGGCTCATGAGTAATAGTATTTGCTGGAATGTTTCAGCTATTTTAGAGGCTGCCTCTCAAAAGTCTGTGGGGTTATAATGCCCTTAGACAGGTTTGATTAATTCAAAGACTCTCAGAAGGGTCTACAGCTAATATCACCTCTTTAAGCTCTTCCAGATTTGAATCCCTGGATCCTGGAACAAACCACAAGCTACTCAGCAGAGGCATTGTGGCCACCTATTACGTTATCCCTACTCTCCTTAAATCCACTTTAGCTCAAATCTAGCCTCTAAAACATTTTAGGAAAGTACCAAGACTATCAGTTCCAGGCGGAATGTGTCCTCTTGTTCATACCAATTAAATTTTGCTAAATTTAAAGTAGAGTACAAGCACTGAATATAAACATAGGAATCAAATCTACATCTACATTTGATATTAAACTTGGGATATATTTGTACAGAGTGTGGATATGGGGTTCATCATATAGCAATTAATTGTAATTAAATGTAGAATGGAAGAAGTGCTCTAATTAAGGCTGCCAGATTTTGGGAGAGAAATAGAACGCCCAGTTAAATTTGAATTTCAGAGAAACAGGTCATTTTTTATTAAAAATATGTCACAAATGTTGCATAGGGTCTGTATTTTACTTTGGCAGCCTTTCTAAAGAGAACTTTAACCAAGTACTCAGGAAAAGCACTGCTATACAGCTGTTCATTGAGATGGGGAGCCCCGGGAGAGCTTCTGGGAAGTGGTGGTATTTGTCAGACTTAAGGGTCTGACTGGATCCTTAGTGACAAGCCATGTTCCTCTGGAGAATGTCTGGAATTGCTGTTGAAGCCAAATATTCACGACCTACCACTTAACAGCATTGAATAAGCATTTACTGGATTGCTATAAAGTAAAAAATTTAGACGTTAAATTCTCGAACCCTTTTAAATGTCGCAAGGCAAAATGGCTATATAAGTATATGCTATTTTCCAAAAGGTTTCCTTAAAAGAAAAGCAACAGGGCCCTCCCTGGTGGCGCAGCGGGTTAAGGCACTGCACTAAGAAGCTAAAGCCACTTTCGCGTGAGTTGGATTCGCAGGAGTTTGATTCCGCCTGCCCTGGAGGCGACCACATGGCACGCCAGACCTCTCCTGACTCGCCCGCTGCTCCCCTCAGCTGTGTACTTTGTAGATCTGCCTGTTCTGCTCCCCACTCT